TTGTCTTCCCAAAGAGGTACCAGCACCTCCTTGGTCTTCCAAAGAAAGCTTCATAACTACATAATGGTTTGGCTGTAAGACTGGAGTACATGTATTTCATCTAGTGCCATTTACTTGCTACTTGGCCGGTATTTTTATTTATCTTTTCTTCAGGCTAAAGCATTGAAATGTCAACATCTTCATCCACTTTGGCTTTTATAAAAAATAAAAAGAATTCAATAAAATAAAATAAAATGATGCTATTAACTTGAATATCCAACAAATGTGTATGTTCATACAAGTAGATTTAAAGATAGACAACCTTTGAAGATAGACAGCCTTTGAAGATAGACAGCCTTGTACGAAAAATGAGATATTTTTAGAACTACATGAATTATTTATAAAGAATCACCTACAGCAAAGCAAGATATTTCTCAATTGGATTGGATATTGTGCAATTTAGCACATTATCAGATAATCCCTAATAATATTAGAGGCAATATTATCCATATAATGTGGCTTTGCCTCCTTCAGTCCAGAGGGTACATATAACCATATGGCATATTTATAAAATACATGTTTCTCAAATAAATTACATTGCATATATCCGTTTGCCAAAAAGAAACATGACTGCCTCATGAAAATATCATATGACTCCAGAATCATTAAACATATATCCTTTTAATGTTTTAATGGAAACATGTTTTTTTCTTTCCTTTTTTACATAGATGTTCACAGAAACATCTGCACTCAATGAATTTTCCTAGTGCCTTGTAGTGGCTAGATTTTCACAATCTGAACAACACGCCCCTTTTAACTAGGCCATTGCACTGGAACCAACCATTATTGACTGGCAAGCGCAAACATCAATTAATTGATATGGCTGCGCTGCATGGCTGTGTGGACAGAAAGGAAAATCAATTTGCTTCCCATTTTTTTCAGTTAATGACAAACTAGTATTAATCAGCACCTCTATCTCAATCTTAGATTGTCAATGAATAATGTGTCTCTTCGGGGCCAGAAGGTCGTTAACTCATACATGTACTGTATCACAAAGTAAACACCATTTTGGTTCTGAACAGCTGAATTAAACATCTAGACTCTGATAGTGTTTCTCATATCAAATATAATGTTATCTTATGAGGGGACTAATGTCATTTTTCTTCTCCCCTCTGTTTTATCACAAACAAACATGGACTTACTTATTTGGAGCTTAAGATTTTATAAAGTGCACAACATGTGGCTTATCTTTTATACAAATAACAATTTGGTCCATAGTTCCTCTTTCATAGCCATCTTGGATAATCATTAACCAGCTTGGAGGGAGGCAGATTGCTGACTTTGAATTTATTCCATAGGTGCCAAAAAGTACCAGCATAATTTTATATCCCTGGAAGGCTTACAGTTTACACAACCTGGCTGTGTAACCTCATGACGCTCTCAACATATGCTGTACATGTAGTTTAGCATTGTTTTATACAGTGCATACAGATGTATGTAGTAATGAATCATTTACTAACTACACACCCTGGCTCTGTATTTAGATCTTGATACATGTATGTATCAGGTTCCCATATGGTTGCATGTGTTGATGAAAAACATATTGAATTTCCACTATAATACCTCTCCACAGAAAGCAACTAGTGCCCCTTAACATGCAACAAGTATACCCACATATCATACATGTGGACAGGCTCCAATAAGCATTGTAGCATATGGATGAAATCGTCATTCACATTTCATATCAGGGACAAGCCTGATCCCTTAGCATGCTCATGTCGCAAACGGATTATACAATATTGGACCTGTTTACTAATTTTAAGCATACTTTTTTTACAAAAGTTCCTCTTGACAACTAAATAGCTTGCAAGTGTAGGCTTGCCCCAAAAAGCAACAGCTAATGTATGCAAAGTGGATTCCATCAATTGAGATTCCATTATTCATAGCAGGTTAATGAAATGACAACCAAGGGTTAGAGTTAGTTGAAATATTGTAAAACAAGCAAACAGGTCTATTGGAAATAACAAAACGAAAGGCATGTGGACTTTTTTCTACATGTAGTTCTTCTCTTCTTCCCCCACTCCCTCCTCCCCTAATCCAGATCGATGCTGCAGATTACATGTATGTGGAGCCTAGGAAATTTACAGTAATGTGAACATGCAATGATAAAACCTACAGAAAGTTTGGAGCGAAATCATATAAACAGCTGTAATGGCTCCAAATTTCTTGTCGAAATTCAGTTCTCTAAAGTGATATAGTTTAAGATAAAATCTTATTTCCTTCCATAGAAACTATCCAACTTGTGATGATGTTGAGTTGAGAAAGCAATGGCACAGTAAATACTACAGATTCACATCATGGTCTCCTACAAATGTGCTTCCTGTTTTTGGAATGATTTCCGATGGCTGGCATGCCACCATGACTTGAAATTTCCTTCTCTCTTTCTCCCATAGTTCAGCTGTAAGTCATCATTCAACCTTCAACCAAGACCCTGGGGTTCTGCCTCCTAAATACTGGAAAGTAAATATCATGCAAGCATATAATACGATGTCTGTATCAGCAATCTTTCACTGTAAAAAATAGTGAGAATCTGCATCATACATGTAGTTGACATCAATAGAAATAGGCTAGGGAAGAGACCAGAGTGAGAAGAAACAGTAAGAGAGAAGAATGAAGGTAGAGACTTAAAAGGAGACAGAGAAGATAGGAAACATACTGAAGGGGAGATATATCTACATGTATCATGTAGGTAGAACTAAATTAATATACGAAATGCAGAACGAGAGATTCAAACATGCCACATGTATGCTGCACTACAGTACAGGCCCATATGTATTTAAGCTTGTACCTCAACAAAATCATTAGAAAAAAACTACACTGACTACCACTACCCATTAAAGAGTCATTGTAGGCCTGGCTATATGTACATTTTGTAGGTTATAGTTCAAGCTTCAAGTGTTAGCCAATATGCAAAGCTGCAAACTGATTTGTAGCTAGTTCTCTTGTCGTCTCGTCGAGTCTCTTTTTTTGATCAATAAGGAGAGGCATCTTGAATTAACAATGAAATTCCACCAAACTCAAGTCATCATAGCATAATCACAGTTATTGTGACCAGACAACAGAGATTATGGATTCCTATTGTGCCCTCTCCATAGGGGATAAAAAGGTCATTGTGGAGACATCAATATTGTTGCACACTACCAAACTGCCTTGTATTGATTTTCCTATATACGCAGTTGCGGTTGAGCCCTGCTCAGTAGCTTTGGATGAAAGCAACAGTAAAACAACCTGCTGCATTCTAAAGGTAATAGACTAGACGGGTTAGTTGTTAATCCTAACACGTTTTACTCTCAGCATGTGCGAACCCTGTGAACTCTCACAGCCACGGTAAAGGGTTGAACTGCCTTATAAACCTTTAGATCATATTATTATTTTATTTATTGATGTTGGGTTGTTGTTTTTTTTTTTTTGGGGGGGGGGGGTGGTCATTAATGATCATATGTGTGCATACAATGAATATAGGAAAATGTTATATGTTGTGTATTATCGCAAGTTTCGCAACTTACAATTAAAATTAGGAGCATTAATGAACTCATCATTGTTTTCAGCATGCACTAAAAAATTATTCATGGGACAATAGAATCACTACAGGCATAAAGAATCTACAATATTATCGATCACAACAAATACAGGCCTCACTAGAAGGAATTCAGATTTAATAGTTGTATACTAGGATCCATAATATGTAAAAGTGATTGCCAAAATATATCTGACTTGCAACTGTCTTCTAATTTGGTTAGGAAAAAAGACAAGATTAGCATTTCTCCTGGCAGTAGATATTTTTAAGAAACACAGACACGTATGTAATGAATCATCATGAAGTAAATAAACTTTTGCAAATTTTGCAGCCTTGCAGTCTTGTTTGCTCTTTTTCTCATGCATGCTGTTTCAATAAAAAATGAATTATTCAGTGACTGCCAAAAATCATATGAAAAGTCGTTATTCAGACCTTGATTGATTTGTATGAATACACTTGATTGTTTGCTTTTGGTTTAAAATGCATACAGAAAAAATGAGGAAGTTTGTGATATATTAAAGCTGTATCATTTCTTATTGTGATATTCAGATAGAAACTCAAAGTAGCATTCACTCCACATTTTCAAACTAATCTATCCAATTTTACAGCATATAACCTTTGCTTAGCTAGGCCTGCTCCATAGGATAGAATATTCTATATTCAATGATTTTTTTTTTTTAAATAGGGGGAGGGGGTTAAACCTACCCTACCCTACCAAACACCTGCCCCACCCCCTAACAGTAAACATGCTAAATGTGACCATGTCTATCAACACCTCCTGGATGGATTTAGTAGAGAGATACAAAGTTACAACAAAATTTCCATCTTTTCTAGAGGAAACTATTAATGTATCGAGTGAATTTGTATATCTATGGACTGGGACTTTAAAAGTTGATTAGCTGCTGCTGATTGTATGAAGTCACTGCCATGACTGTATTGTAAATGTAAGTGTAATGCTACTAAATATTACCATAAAGTTTAGGCCTAAAGGATTTATAAATCTTGTCACAGGATTTGCTTGTATGGTTATATATCTATAGATCTATGTGACAATTTATACAAGATACATATCTGCACAACCCCAAATTACGAAGATACACCAACAGCATGGTGGCCTGTACTCCAACAGAAGAAGAAGAACATGAAGAATATATCATATTTATAAACGTTTTCTTGATCATTTTATGTTTTCTTACCCCTGTTTATTGTTGAACTGTTTTTGCCAGACTTAACCTTTTAATTTGCATACCCTCTTCCTGATTATAATCATAATGTGTTGTTTCTTAATCAGATCATGGAGATATAATAATATCCATGTGTGCTACAGGAAATCAAATTGTTAAAATACTGTTATCATGATTCATATAGTATCAACTGAACTGTACCAAATCGGATTGACTTTGTCACGAATAAATGGAAAGGACGTGGAATCGCGCATGCTTACCGATTGGTCCTCCGGGGCCGGAGCCAAGATTTGTCCTCTTCGTAGCCATACCTCCGTCTAATTCTACTTCTAATGGTCTTTTCCTAGAATCACAAGAGTCACCGTTTAGACCGTTAATATCTATGATAGGTTGTCCGACAATTGAATGGATAGATGGAACTAATGAAAGCGAAGCTGACTGTGTTCCTGGGCCCGTCACGAATTCTGCTGTCGCCATCTTTGCGAGGCCCGGCTGTCTGAAAAGATTTCACGATCCACCTTCCCCGACGAAACCCCCGTAACTCGCGATACTAGGCCGTGCAGTCAGGTGAAGAAACTCGAGATGTGGCTGACTAGCTCGTGTAACTTCGGAGGACTGAGAGTGGGTTCCACTTCCAGCCTTGGCTTTGGCCTTTAGCTCTTCACTAAATCGACACAATAAAGGTTGTGTTTACAACGTATTACATACAATACTATTTCTAAATATGTTCACCCACCAACCAGGAACTACAAATCTGACGAAATGTTCAGTTCCACTAACAACAGCTCTCTGTGCCTGGCTAGTCGCTTATGCGATTACTTGGGGTCCGGTCGATCGCCTCGCCGACACTGAAAAGCCAATGAACTGCGATTGTGTGTACCGAAACGGTATGTGCTAGGTAGCAAATGCTGGGATGAGTCTTGCATGATCCGATTATACTCTATACAAACGAAATGGGTGCTAATTTGTGTTCTGAGATCTCAATTGATCAACAGCCTTCGTATAAATGTATTGTTTTTTTCCACAAGATTTTGAATTCTCTCTCTCGCCTTCTCTCTCTCTTTCTCTCTTTCTCCTTCTCTCTCTCTCCTTCTCTCTCTCTCTCTCTCCTTCCCTCTATCTCCTTCTCTCTCTCTCTGTGATTGAACAGGAAGAAAAATTGTAATTACATCGAATTATAATATCCCCGGATACACAGGGTATATTGCGTTAGAAATGAGTTCTTTCTTTGGGCTCAAAAATGCAAAACTTGACTAAAGTGTATGAATAATTTTTTTTATGAGTTCCAAATTTTGAAAGAAGAAATGTCATTTCCGTTTCCTTGCTTCTTATTGTTCGTTTCATCAGCCTCTTATATAATATTATATTGCTCCTCATTTGCAAAGGTTCAACTTTAAATAAAAAAAACTTGTTTTCGTTTGCCTTACTTATTTTCTCGACAGGATTTCCCCGGGTTTCCTTAATTTGTGCCCATTTTGAAAACCGATTTTCGGTGTTCACAATTCGAAACTCAACCGGTCTATTTCAGTGCCCCTTGCAATTTTGTTATGCTTGAACAAAAATATATACATACTTCAGCCTGTCTTATAGAGAGATGAACTTATTTGCGACTTGATATAAATTGCAACTATGTACATAATGAGAAAGGAGACTGCAAACTTGCGATTGGTTTGGATCAATCACAACTCTCTATAAGATGTGGAACTGGTTTATAACTCTGTCACTTTGCTCACTCGTTTGTAAACTAGTTGTAAAATAATTTTCAAAAATAAATTTCAGCGGGGGATGATGAGGGCGCAATTTCATTGTTTGCCCCGGTGCAAATGGACCGAACGTGATTTTTATAAATGCTATTGAATTTGCGTTTCAGACGGTCTGATCTATTGATATATACATGTTACATATCTGTTGTTTATATATGGATAAGTCCATCCACTTCATAATACTCCCAAGATTTGGTTTGATAGATTTTCAACAACAAAATTTAAAGGTAATATTTGTAACATAGAATTGCGCTTAATCAAAACTGTGTGTAATCAACATCATTTTCATCAACATCAACATCAGATAGCTCGGATGCAGTGTAGCCACATAAAGGCAGCCATTTGAAAAATAGTTAATAAAAGACGACTTCTGCTCTTATTCGTGAAAAAATACTTTTTCTCTCCCCTTCCATACTATTCCCTCTTCCCATTCTATTTACGGTACTGCTTCTAATTGTTATTTGCACGTAGCTTTGTCATCATCTTTGTAGAATGTTATTAACCATCTCTCTACCCTCTCTCATTTTTTCATGACACTGTTTATCATTTTTATGATAACATCTTGATAATCGTCTTTCATGCAACCTAATTATTCTTTTTTTTTTTAAATTAAAGAAACATCACAAAGTAAACAAATATGAATCATCGGCAATTGATCCTTGACCAGTTGATTGTTATCGCCGAACAATATCCGAACAACTTCTAACCATTCGTTAATATTTCCACAAGTGGTCGCAAATTAGTTTACAAAATTAATAATATACAATGATCGGACAGTGTTCGACCTGATCGGCACTTGCCCTACAAACTATCAGCAACTGGTCGCCCACTAAATTCTTGCAAATTGGTTGTTGATGGTCGCAACCTTTTTTAGGGGGAGGGATGGGGGGGGGGGGGGTGTCAGAAGTCGGCAACCGATCGTACGCCTATTATGTGTGACAAAAGAGTTATACATTTTTTTTTTAAAGTCCTTGGTGTGACTTCAGTAGGCTTAAAGGCTATTGTAGAGAGACCATCCACTTTATATATATATATCGGTGTTCAATAAGATCGTTCCGCCCCCCTACAGAAAAGTATGGTGGCTCCTAAAGGACTCACGCAAACGCAAAATTTGACGTATACCTATGCAACAAAATTTGTAGATTTTTACGTCAAAGACGTGAAAATCCACAAAATTGTCGTATACCTTTGCTTGGTAATTTTTTCGTTTTTCTGTTCTCAATGGCCCTGAAGGGACACGCAGACATAAAAATCTGCTGGAAAATCTGCGTCCAATATTCACGTCTGCGTCTCCCGAAAGGGACACGCAGACGTAAAAATCCACAAATTTGTTGCAAAGGTATACGTCAAATTTGTGGATTTTCACGTCTTTGACGTAAAAATCTACAAATTTGTTGCATAGGTATACGTCAAATTTGTGGATTTTCACGTCTTTGACGTCAAAATCCACAAATCTGTTGCATAGGTATACGTCAAATTTTGCGTTTGCGTGTCCCTTAGGAGCCACCATAGAAAAGCATTAATTGTGTTTAAAACTTAATATGCACCATGCATTTCAGGTTATTTTGTTAAATTTCTCATTTCTAAACATTATTAGAGTTGTCACTTCCCAATTTATTAAAATGTGTATCTCTCCTTGGTGGTCGATCACCTGTGAAACACGCTTGGTTCAGTTATCGTCCACTAATGACGCCAGGAGGTCCTTATTCATGTCTCTGCTCGCCGGATCCCCTCTTTAAGTTGATTTTTAGTTCTGCAGTATTGAGTTTCAATATTTTTTCTTTCATAATAGACCATAGTTTCTCTATGGGGTTCAATTCTGTCAAATTTTCTGGCCAGTTCTCTTTCCTTCTCCAAGCTAATGTTGGTCTTGTTGGGCGCCATCTTTAAATGTCTAAGGTTTACAGACCTTTAAAGCCACACTGTACTACTTATAGCTACTTGCTCCCTCTATATAACAAGCAATGCATAATCGGTGACCATTGGTCCCCCATGATCCTCTTTTTCTAGTAATTGAGAGCTGATTTGATGAGATAACCATGTGCACCGTGTCCAGTGACCTTGTAGGGTAGTGTAATCCCTCCTGTTCACTAGTATTGATGGGCTTTAAATTCCTCCTTTTCAGTGTTTGACCTCGTATCGCAGCCCAGCAAAAGGTGTGGTCAATTTCTGCACGCTGGATGCATTAGTATACATCCAGTACAAGTACATTTGGTTGGTAACAGACTGCGCTATTACTAAAGTAGTCATTATGAGCAGTTGAGTTGGCAGATAGGGGCGGAACGAACTTTTTGAACACGGTATATATTATGTATACCTTTGGAAAAATGAACTTATATAGAATTGACAGTTAGGTATACCCATTTTGTTCAGCTCCATTATTTTGAATGATTCAATATAAATTTGATTGATGATAATTATGTTGTTGTCAATACCTCGACTGTGCTAGGGTTTCTCCATGCGCTCGAGTGTCATTATCAATATGCTCCTCTTGCCCGGCTCCAACTTTTGACTTACCAATAGACTAATATTCAAATTTATAGATGTACCACAAAATACTTGGAATTCAGTATTGTATACATTATTTGTTGCTTCGTTGGGCAAGTCTTGGTAAGCCTTCAGGTCGTCAAGAAAATCCTTTGTGTAAAAAAGCATGTATGCAATTTAAATATGTTATAGTAAACCGGTTTATGTTATGAAATATCGCTAATTAACAGACATCCCTCTTTAATTTTCCACGGACAAGAGTATCAGATTGCCCTTTGATAAAAATACTGGTACCATGGATATTGATGTTGATATTCATATCACGTTTGCCAAAGGTCGGCACCTGATGGTCCAGACTATCGTTTCAGTCTTTGTCTAAGCATGGACCTATATAGCAAGTGGTCTAACCACCACTTGGTGACATTGTTACATTTTTGTCCAAGTTTTTTTCTTCAATATAAATGTAAGTATCATGATGTAATCATACAGTCATATACATATCCCTGGTAGTCATAATAACAAATTAGTTGTCAAATTACTGCCTTCTTACTTTTAATTATGTACGTCTCTCTAATTTTCTCATTTTCTTTCCCTGTCATTTTTTCAAGTCTCCCATGAACCTATTTTTTACAAGCTCTGCTTTTTTATAAGTACCTGCACATTTCACAGTTTGTGTTTTTCTTGTCTGTGTTTCCTTTAAAATGATAATAGTTGTCAAACAAATGTGATGATATGTAACTTTGTATAGTCTGATTAATTTGTAAATTATTACAATCATTTTTTGAATTATGAAACAATATGTCTTTTATGTATATTTTGTTATCTGTTGTAGTAGTAGTAGTAGTAGTAGTAGTAGTAGTAGTAGTAGCTCTATACGCAGAGCGAATTTATTTTTCATTTCTTTTCACATAATATAAACAATTACAAACAATAATAAACGTAACAACAGAAGTGAGCATTGAAATATCTTTGACATCTTTGGTCATTGTAATGCAAAATGATTTGGTAACAGGAAATGAAGAAAAAAAAAAAAGAACCTACTTGAAAGCAATGATTGTTAGGTGTGTAGGTTTTGATTTGATTTTTGGATTTAATTTGATTTTCTTCTGCATTCATGTCAGCATACAGTTTTTCGATAACAATAATAATATAAAGTACAATAAGTATTTTTCTGACAATGAATCATAAATAAGCAAATACATATATATATATATATATATATATATATATATATATATATATAAATTGTTATTTTAAAAAACGAAATGATAAATTGTCATAAATACTAAATTTCCTCAAACATTATAAAACATTATAAATTATTTGCGGAAGAAGGGCTGTCATTGTAAGCAGATTGCTTGATAATACGACAGCCCCAGACAAAACTCATGAAATATATTAACACATTTATTAAGCAGAAACGGATAGGTAATTGAAAATACAAATTTCGATGATGGTGATGCAGATGAAGATGATGATGAAGATGAAGATGATGATGATGATGAAGATGATGATAATGATGATGATGATGATGATGATGATGATGATGAGGTTCGCACATTGATAATTGAACTTTATACATAACTTAATTTTGAAAACAAATTACGGAATAAAAACTCTGTCGTTTTTTACAAAAAAAAATTAAACAAGACAA